CATGAAACGCGAGACGAAGTCGTACAGCAATGAAAGTGGTGGTGAAGTTTCCGAACGACAGCCCAGCAGCGACCAAATTGCACCAGCCGCTGTCAAATTTCCTGGGTGTCATGTCATCCCTAGCGAACTACAATCGCAGGAGGTGTTCGCGAGTGAAAGGTGAAGCATTGCACTCCTGCATAACGTGCCACAACTAGACAAAACCTCTACGAACACCTAAACACAATACTAAAACATAATCACCACTTTCAGGAGACATTCAGCCTTTCGCGATCGTCGCATACGAAGACAACGCCCTTCGTGCACCCTGTCACAGCTTTCGTTACCCAGCGCGTTATTCGCCTGTCTATTCCGCGCCAATTCCACCTGTTTCTGGTGCTTATGGATGTCCTGTCATTTCTTTGCTAATGCTAATACTAACTAGGTGAAAATTCACACACAGCGCCTGCTGCGTTTTGCTGTAAAGCGAGCTCTCTCTCGTTTTTTCTCTTCGCCCCCTGTAGACGCGCCGTCTAAGTAAGCTAGAGTCAAGGAGAAACAGCGAGTCCCAGAACAAGTTTGAGGCACAGGGAACAACCAGACGCGCAGCAGGGCGATCAGCAGGAAATCAGCAGGCGGTCTGCAGGCGATCAACCAGGCGACTCGCGTCACTGTATCATCAGCCGCCATGATGCACATGACCTTCTACTGGGGCGTGGAGGCCACCATCCTCTTCTCCTCCTGGCACACGCGTACACCTCCGCAGTACTGCCTCGCTATCGCCCTTGTCGCGCTCGCCAGTATCGCGTACGAGGGCCTCAACTCTCTGCGCGTCAACGTTGCAGCGGGAAAGCTCGCGCGGGCGAGCGCTGCGACCGACGAATCCACGAGCACGCCACTGTAAGAGCCCCTGCGGTCACCCTCACATACCAGGATGTCCTTGTTGAGAGTCTCTCCGCGTCAACTTGGCAGCTTTGAATCTCTCCTCAACAAGCGCTGACTTCTCGGTTATTTCCGTCTCGCTGTTATTCAACCATTGAATTTTGGCGTCCCTGATTTTTTAGCGCTTTGACATTGGGTTTCTGGATATCTTTATGCCCTTGGATAGCCAGCCACAGTGGATGTGCATATTTGGACTCAATAACTGTTCAGCGCCCCCTGTTTCAATTTCCTATAGAATGAATTTGCGAACACATCTTCTTTCTCCTTCCGCTTCAGGCTTACCGGAACCTCTCGCCCTCCAGCTCGGCTTTCTTGCACAGACAAGCTACCTCTCTCCCTGCTCTACATTGCCACGTCAGCGCTGGGCTACCTCCTCATGCTAACCGCGATGTCCTTCAATGGAGGGATCTTCATTGCTATTGTTGTTGGGCTAGGTGTGGGCCATTTTATGTTTGGGTTGAACCAGGCTAGTCTTGCATCTCAGGCCAGTGGCGAGTCATGCTGTGCATAGTGATGCTGATGTAATTGTGTGAAATAGAGCACCAAATGTTTGACCACACAGCACACAATCAGGCATACTACCATTGGATTCTCTCATCGAGCAACCTTCATTCCAGTATCAGGTTGTAGCTGTATCAGGGTACAACATGTAAAAAATGCTCAATGTAGGCACAAAAAAGTGCTCAGTATAAGATGGCAACTACTATCAGAGTGTATTCCTATCCTCTTATCAAGAGAACCTCATATCAAGATTGTACCTTTTGCCTGGTAAAACTAGCGAAAGGTTTCGGGTTTAGGGAAAATTTCAGTGGGAGGATAGGAATTCTCTCTCAGGATATTACAATGAACACCCCAAACTTCTCTCCAACTAGTATTCTCGTTTTATTTGATTGTAAAAAATTGGAATGAATATATATATGTCAAATACATTGGAAATAATACCTTGATAACACGTGACAAAATGAGGCATGGGATAGAAAAATACATACTATCACGTGTTTAACGATTTTGATAAAAACCACTGTATTTACTGTAACAGTAGTTTTGTCCCGCAGCAAGTCCTAGCTCCGGTGGTCCTCCCGATCAGGCGTCGTGGCATGTCGCACATGCGACCTCGGAACACCCCAACCGCAATATGTTTGACGAACCATGCCTGCCATCGAACGGTAGCCTAATGTCTCCTCTTAACGAATGTTTCCATCGAACGGCTAAATCTCATGCGACGCACGGAACGACTAGCAGGTCTTCTGTCCCAGAAGGAGGGAAATCTGACAATGCGACACCCTCTGCTGTTGTTCCAGAAGTGAAGCCTGGCGGGAGTTGGGTGGAAAGTCCTTGTTCCTCGCAATCACATTTGAGGGTCCTTCTCACTAGTCCTTCCAGATTGTCTTGTAGCTTCTGAAGCTCTAGCACACACTACCATCAGTACCTAGTAGATCGGCGCAGGGTGTTGTTTTGTTACGGCATCTGTGCAAATTCTAACTTCATCTCGTTATCTTGGGCGCTGCCATGGCCGATCAATTGTCCGAGGATCAGATTGCGGAGTTTAAGGAAGCTTTCAGCTTATTCGACAAGGATGGAGATGGTGCGTGCGGGTTTCAGACATTGGAGAAAGATGTCGTTTTTTGGTGCAGAGTGACGAAGGACCAGAATAGGAACATGGGTTCTTTGTTAAGATCTGTCCTAAGATGCCATGTTTCGCATTTTTCACAGGTAGCATCACAACGAAGGAGCTCGGAACTGTCATGCGTTCGTTGGGACAGAATCCAACTGAGGCTGAGCTTCAAGACATGATCAACGAGGTCGATGCGGATGGTAACGGAACGATTGACTTTCCAGAGTTTTTGAACCTTATGGCGAGGAAAATGAAGGTAAGTGTGTCTGTGTTTTATTTTTTTCTGAATATGCACGATCAGGCAGTAGTAGAAGAAGATATTACCATCTGTATTGTTCTTAATGCAGGACACCGATTCTGAGGAGGAACTGAAGGAGGCGTTTAAGGTGTTTGACAAGGACCAAAACGGATTCATCTCGGCGCAGGAGGTAAGCTCATGCTTGGCTCTAATGGCTTGTTCGTGTGTTCTTTCCTTATCTTTCAAGTCTCGCTTTCATCTCTTGCATGCCCATTTCCTTCTGAGCGTGCTTCATTGATAATTATGAACGCGTCTTCATATCTTGCATTTCCATTTCCTTAATTTGCAGCTTCGGCATGTGATGACGAATTTGGGAGAGAAGTTGACGGACGAGGAGGTTGATGAAATGATTCGGGAGGCTGATGTGGATGGAGATGGACAAGTCAACTACGAGGAGTTCGTGAAAATGATGATGGCTAAGTAGGCTAGTATTTTAGTTGTTGTCAGAGCATGTTTTTCAGGTTATATCTTGCAAGGTAGACCAGCTGCATATGTAGGATCCAGAATGAAAATGTCAAATGGTGCTTAGCTTACAGACATCCTACGTTATTTATCATCCCTCTATGAAGGTAGCGGAATAAATGAAAAATGGGTGAGAAATTGCAGTAAATGGGTTCAGTTGTAGTTCCATGATGGCATAAATAAGGGTACTGGTCATATCTAATTCCAGATAACCTCCATTTTTCAAAAGCTACTAGAACGAAAACAATAAAGTTTGTGTGTGCTTTGTGGAGGAAGTCAAAATTCGGCATGAGTGAATTTTCACCACTGGTCAGTTATCGAAGCCATGACATCGTGACATTTTGGAGGTTTCCTTCTCGGTTTCCTCTTTGATGAGCTTGACTTGAGCTAACTGGGTCCTAGAGCTCTTTCTAGGTCACGTCTCTAGCGTGGTTTGCTCATCCGTACTCTCGTTACGGTGGGACCACTAGAATCCGTATCTTTATCTAGAAATGGCCGACCAGTTGTCTGAGGATCAGATTGCGGAGTTCAAGGAAGCCTTTAGCTTATTCGACAAAGATGGGGATGGTGCGTCGGCCAGAATTTGCGTTCGGGGTGGTTAAGACATGGCGTGATGAGTAGTGAACAAGTTGAAAGACGTATTCTTTCAGCATGCTAATGTCGTATGCTGTAGTATCGAGCGACGTGTTCCGTTTCTGTCATGGATTTTACCTTCTCATGTTGTTCTTGGCGTGTCTTCAGGCAGCATCACAACGAAGGAGCTGGGCACTGTCATGCGGTCCCTGGGTCAGAATCCGACTGAGGCCGAGTTGCAAGATATGATTAATGAGGTTGACGCTGACGGAAACGGAACAATTGACTTCCCCGAGTTCCTGAACCTTATGGCGAGGAAAATGAAGGTCAGTATTCACAAGCCGCTTGTTTTAGAGACATTCCAGGTCGGTTTGTAACCGTCGCGTGCGTTCTTACCTCAGGATACTGATTCCGAAGAGGAGCTAAAGGAAGCGTTCAAGGTATTTGACAAGGATCAGAACGGTTTTATTTCGGCGCAGGAGGTACGTCGGCCCCGTGGAAATCAGAGACTTAGGAGTTTTTTTCGGAATGCCTTTCCATTAATATATTTTTGGCATTTTTTTGTTTCTAAGAACCATACTCTTCAATTTGCAGCTTCGGCACGTAATGACGAATTTGGGAGAGAAACTGACGGACGAGGAGGTTGACGAAATGATCAGGGAAGCGGATGTGGATGGGGATGGCCAAGTTAATTATGAGGAGTTTGTAAAGATGATGATGGCAAAATAGATGCCAGGTTTTCCTTCCCCCTCTCCCCACCTACACACATTCTACCCCCATTCCTAGATCTTCACTCGTTTTCCTCAAGCCCACCACCGTCTCCAATCTGTGATGTGAATTCATTCCTCAGCGCATTCATACACCCAAGCAAGCTGTTCATTCAGGGTCAGGCCTATCTGACAACATCAGTCACAATGGCTCTCTGCACACGTTGATAGAATCTGGTCCTTTTTTTGCTTTGGATAGCACACTGTGTACTAAGAATGAGCTGGTGCGATTTATGCTGTATTGAATCATAGAAGGGAACAACTTGTATTAGTTGTGCATGGCACTGCTGATCATTGTGGTCCACAGTATGCGAAGCGTTCCATTCAAATGTCAGCTACACAACTTCACTACAGTACAACTAGGTCATGATTGCATGCCATCCCTAGGATCACTGGTGAGGTCGTTGAACGTCTCAATGGCCTTTTGAGCCAGCCTTGTAACCTCATAGTCCACCATTGCCTGAATGAGGGGTTTTAGAGGGCACATGCACGCGAGGTGAGAGGGAGCTACATGCATGGTAAAAGAAGTTGTTGCACATCTTTATAACCTTCTGAGCTAGCCTTGTGACCTCGGTAGTCCATTGCCTGGACGAGGAACGAGATGTTGCAGTGAGCAAAATGCAAGCAAAACACGCAGAATAAAAGAGTTCAAAGGAAAGCTAATGGCCTCGGCACACCCCCGCACACTACCTCTGTGTACGAGTCAAAATTGACGTCTTTCCCCAGCATGTCCGAGTAGACCTGATACACGCACACCACTGTTCTCCACCGCACAGCATACCTCCATGTACGAGTCAAACTCCACATTTTTCCCCAGCATGTCCGAGTAGACCTGGTCCCTAGCATATCACCGAACTCCACCGCACACCACTGCACAACATACCTCCATATACGAGTCAAAGGTGACGTCTTTCCCCAGCATGTCCGAGTAGACCTTATACCACGCGCTCCCCGGCGCCCGTAAGTCCTTGAAATTCCCCAGAAGCGTGTGACGAGCCTCAACACCACCGCACACCACCGCACACCACAGCACACCACCGCTTACGACCGCACACGACCACACATCGTACCTCCATATATGAGCCAAAGGTGACATCCTTCCCCAGCATGTCCGAGTAGACCTGGTACCACGCACTCCCAGGCGCCCATAAGTCCTTGAAATCCCCGAGCAGGATGTGACGAGCCTCAACACCACACCACCGCACACCACCGCACTCCACCATGCACCACCACACAGCATACCTCCATGTACGAGTCAAAGGTGACGTCCTTCCCCAGCATGTCCGAGTAGACCTGGTACCACACGCTCCCAGGCGCCCAGAGGTCCTTGAAATCCCCCAGCAGTATGTAATGAGCCTCGACTGCTCACCACCGCACACCACCGCATACCACTGCATCCCACCACTTACCACCGCACACCACCACACAGCATACCTCCATGTACGAGTCGAAAGTAACATCCTTCCCCAGCATGTCCGAGTAGACTTGATACCACGCACTCCCCGGTGCCCATAAGTCCTTGAAATCCCCGAGCATCCGAACGTTGAACTTTTCTTTTAGGGGGTCGAAGAAACCCGGAGAACGCTCGTCCGTTGAAATGTAGAGGAATCTACCAGGCTGAACCAGCTCCAGTAGACGCTTGAGGAGACTGGCAGGAAATGCAACAGCAGAGGAGGTAGCAGAAGGAAGAGGGTCTTTAAGGGGGTCAAAGAAGCCTGGGGAGCGCTCGTCCGTTGAGATGTAGAGAAGGTTCAGCTCTGGTAGACGCTTCAGCAGACTGGATGGGGGGATAATGGGGAAGGAAGAGTGGGAGAGAACGACGCTGAGAAGCCTGGGGAGCGCTCGTCCGTTGAGATGTAGAGGGCCCGGCCAGGGCGGTTCAAAAGATTATCTTTTGAGGCGATTTTTGAGGCGCCTCAAAATTTTTGAGACGATTTTTTAGGCGCCTCAAAAATAGCCTGGGAAGCGCTCGTCCGTTGAGATGTAGAGGAACCGGCCGGGGCGCTTCAAAGGGTTGTCTTTTGAGGCGCCTCAGGAATCGGCCGGGGCAATTCAAAGGGTTGTCTTTTGAGGCGCCTCAGGAATCGGCCGGGCTGAAGGTCTTCCAGGCCGAGTCCAGAACCTTGTCTCTGTCAGGTCGGGCTGGACTCGGTCTGGACAGGGCTGAAGGTCTTCCAGGCTGCATCTCTTTGCCAAGATTGGACCATCGCTTCAAGTCCAGCACCTTGTCTCCTCTCCGCAGATGCACATGCACATTCACATGCACATGCACATGCACATGCACACGCAGACACAGTCTTACGTGCACGCACGCCCCCGCATGATATTACATTCCACTCACCTACCTCTCAGGTCGCGTGTCTTTGTCGAGATTTGGCCATCGTTTCGAGTCCAGCACCTTGTCTCCTCCCCTCTCCGCACATGCACGACAGATTGCATCACATGCATAGATGCCCGTGCACATGCTTACGCACATGCCCACTTCACATCAGACATATACCTGTCAGGTCATGTGTCCTTGTCGAGGTTGGGCCATCGCTTTGAGCCCAGGACCTTGTTCCCCCCACCGCACATGTGCACTAAAAATCATGCCTCATGCCCCATGCCTCATGCTTCATGCCTCATGCCTCATGCTTCATGCCTCATGCACATGCACATCAGACATATACCTGTCAGGTCGTGTGTCCTTGTCGAGGTTGGGCCATCCCTTCAGGTCCAACACCTTGTTCCCCCCCCGGCACATGTGCACTACAAATCATGCCTCATGCCTCATGCCTCATGCTTCATGCCTCATGCTTCATGCCTCATGCTTCATGCCTCATGCACATGCACATCAGACATATACCTGTCAGGTCGTGTGTCCTTGTCGAGGTTGGGCCATCGTTTTGAGTCCAGGACTTTGTCCCCCCGCCGCACGTGCACTACATCGTAGTTGCTGTTATTCATTTGGAGTGTAATATTGGAAATAACCCACTGGAGCTCCTTCCGCATGGGCAGCAGAGTCCAGTTGCGTGGGAGCGACTGTTGGAAGGGACAAGCACAAATGTAATGAGAAGGGAGCGGTGAGGGGCGGGCGGAATCATAAGTTGACTTCGCATGGGCAGCAGAGAGAGACCAGTTGCGCGGGAGCGACTGGTGAAAGGAAAAAAACTTGAGAGAAGAACGAAGGAAAAAATGGAGGAGAGCGACTGGTGGAAGGAAAAAAACATAAGGGCAAGGGTAAATAAAGGAAAGGGAGGAAGAAAAAGAGAGGAGTAGAGGAAAGGGAGGAAGAAAAAGAGAGGAGTAGAGGAAAGGGAGGAAGAAAGGGAGTAAGGAAGGGAGGAGCAAGGGAGGAAGAAAGGGAGGGTTGTGAATGACTGGAGAGCAAACGAGTGGCAGAGGTATAGGCAGCAGCACAACCATGGGATCTTTGAGAATTCTCAAAAATACCCTGCAGCAGATTCAGACATGTCTCAGTGAGCATCAATGACTGGAGAGCAAACGAGTGGCAGAGGTATAGGCAGCACAACCATGGGATCTTTGAGAATTCTCAAAAATACCCTGCAGCAGATTCAGACATGTCTCAGTGAGCATCAATGACTGGAGAGCAAACGAGTGGCAGAGGTATAGGCAGCACAACCATGGGATCTTTGAGAATTCTCAAAAATACCCTGCAGCAGATTCAGACATGTCTCAGTGAGCATCAATGACTGGAGAGCAAACGAGTGGCAGAGGTATAGGCAGCACAACCATGGGATCTTGACTCACATGGGCAGCAGAAACTTTCTGCCAGAAAGCATGAACAAACCCGAAATCAGTAGATAGAAGCTATGAGATTTCGAAATACCAGCTGCACATCCTGCACATCCCTCACATCCCGCACATTCCTCCTCTCCCTCTCTGCCTTTTGAGTCGACTCAAAAGTCACCTCGTTACCATGGCACACGAAGCTATGAGATTTCGATATACCAGCTGCACATCCCTCACATCCCTCCTCTCAAATGGTCCGTTGTATTAATTCAGCAGGGGTACAGACATGCAGTTCTATCCATGATAACCTCAATCCCATAAGCCCATCAATCACCCCTCTTCCCCTCCCCCCCCGGAGTGACCCTCTAGCCCTCCAGCGTGTGGAGGATGTCCCCCAGGTGCAGCGGCCAGGGGTCCGCTGCCATCTGGGGGTGTGCTGCACATCCCGCACGTCCCTCACATCCCGAGTTGACTTTTGAGTCGACTCCCAAGTCAACTATGAGATTTCGAAATACCAGCTGCACATCCCTCCCATCCCTCCTCTCCCTCTTTGCCCCCCTCCCTCTGCCATTGCTGCTGCCACCACCACTGCCATGCCATGCTTACCACCCATAACCGCTCACCACCACTGCCAGCCACTCACCGCCCCCTCTGGTGCATCGCACAAAGCGAACCCAAAAACAGTAGAGGAAGTGAGATTCCGGATAATAAGTTGTGTTTTGAGTCGCCTCAAAACACACCTAGATTCCGGATAATAAGTTGTGTTTTGAGTCGACTCAAAACACACCTAGATTCCGGATAATAAGTTGTGTTTTGAGTCGCCTCAAAACACACCTAGATTCCGGATAATAAGTTGTGTTTTGAGTCGACTCAAAACACACCTAGATTCCGGATAATAAGTTGCACTTCCCTCCTCTCCCCCCTTGCCAGTGCTACCGACTCACCACCACCCATGCCATGCTTACCACCCGTAACCACTCATCACCACTGCCAGCCACCACACCACCACCATTGCAAGCAACTCACCGCCCCCTCTGGTGCGTCACAGGAAGCGAACCCAAACTCCGTCGAGGAAGTGAGATTCCGGATAATAAGTTGCACGTCCCTCCTCACCCCTCTGCCAGCGCTGCTGCCACCACCACCACCACCCAAGCCATGATTAGCACCCATAACCGCTCACCTCCACACCACTGCCAACCACTCACCACCACCAGAACTCACCGCCCCCTCTGGTGCGTCACAGGAAGCGAACCCAAACTCCGTCGAGGAAGTGAGATTCCGGATAATAAGTTGCACGTCCCTCCTCACCCCCTCTGCCAGCGCTGCTGCTGCCACCACCACCACCACCCAAGCCATGATTAGCACCCATAACCGCTCACCTCCACACCACTGCCAACCACTCACCACCACCAGAACTCACCGCCCCCTCTGGTGCGTCACAGGAAGCAAACCCAAAATCCGTAGAGGAAGTGAGATTCCGGATAATAAGTTGCACGTCCCTCCTCACCCCCTCTGCCAGCGCGGCTGCTGGCTCGAGCTTGGGAGCGATGAGAGTGGAGAGATGGGCGGATGGGGCTACTGTCCTGAAGCCCTGTAGTGGCGTGAAGGGGAGGTGGCTGGGGGAGGGGAGACGGGGAAATGGAGGAAGAAAGGGAGTCAAAGGGAGCAGGGGAGAGGGAGGTTGGGAGCGATGAGAGTGGCGAGATGGGCGGATGTGGCTGCTGCCCTGAAGCCCTGTAAGGGAGTGAAGGGGAGGTGGCTGGGGGATGGGGGACAGAATGGGCAGGGCAGGGGGAAAGAAAGAGGTGTTGGGGGAGCGAAAAGGGAGGAGAGCAGGGAAGAGGGAGCTTGGGAGCGATGAGAGTGGCGAGATGGGACGATGGGGCTGCTGCCCTGAATGCCTGTAGTGGCGTGAATGGGAGGTGGCTGGGGCAGGAGGGTGGGGGAATGGAGGGGGGAGGAAACGGGAGAGGGAGCTTGGGAGCGATGAGAGTGGGGAGATGAGCAGATGGGGCTGCTGCCCTGAATGCCTGTAGCGGCGTGAATGGGAGGTGGCTGAGGGGGGGAAGACAGAATGGGCAGGGAGAGAGAAAAGGGGAAGAGGGCAAGAAAGAGGGAGCTTGGGAGCGATGAGAGTGGAGAGATGGGCAGATGGGGAGATTGGTCTGAAGCCCTGTAGTGGCGTGAAGGGGAGGTGGGTGGGGGAGGGGAGACGGGGAAATGGAGGGAGAAAGGAAGCCAAAGCGAACAGGGGAGAGGGAGCTTGGGAGCGATGAGAGTGGCGAGATGGGCGGATGGGGCTGCTGCCCTGAATCCCTGTAGTGGCGTGAAGGGCAGGTGGCTGGGAGAAGGGAGGAGAGGGGAGGAGAGGGGAGGAGAGGGGAGGAGAGAGGAGGAGAGGGGAGGAGAGGGGAGGAGAGGGGAGGAGAGGGGAGGAGAGGGGAGGAGAGGGGAGGAGAGGGGAGGAGAGGGGAGGAGAGGGGAGGAGAGGGGAGGAGAGGGGAGGAGAGGGGAGGAGAGGGGAGGAGAGGGGAGGAGAGAGGAGGCAGAGAGGAGGCAGAGAGGAGGCAGAGAAAAACAGGGGGCAGAGGGAGAGAAAGGGGCCCCAGGGCAAGAGAGAAAGGGGCCCCAGGGCAAGAGAGAAAGGGGCCCCAGGGCAAGAGGAGGGAGAGAAAGGGGCCCCAGGGCAAGAGAGAGGGAGAGAAAGGGGCCCCAGGGCAAGAGAGAGGGAGAGAAAGGGGCCCCAGGGCAAGAGAGAGGGAGCTTGGGAGCAATGAGAGTGGGGACATGGGCGGATGGTACGACATTTGAGACGTCTCAAAAGTCTCGTGAAAGAAGGAGTGTTTTGAGACGTCTCAAAACACTCCTTCTTTCACGAGACGTCTCAAAAGTCGTCTACTTACACACTTGGGAGCAATGAGAGTGGGGACATGGGCGGATGGTACGACACCCCTGAAGCCCTGTAGCGGGGTGAAGGGGAGGTGGGTGGGGGAGGGGAGACGGGGAAATGGAGGGACTGCCCTGAAGCCCTGTAGTGGGGTGAAGGGGAGGTGGGCGGGGGAGGGGAGGTAGATCCGGGGGGGGGGGGCAAAAGAGGGAAATCAAGTGGGCCCAGGGCAGGGGAGAGAGTTACGGAGCGATGAGAGTGGAGAGATGGGCGGACGGGACGACTGCCCTGAAGCCCTGTAGTGGGGTGAAGGGGAGGTGGGTGGGGAAAGAGGAGGGATGTGGAGAGATAGCTAGAGCGGGGAGAGGAGAGGGCAAGGCAAGCGGGCAGGAAGGGGGCAGGAGGGGCAGGAAGGGGGCAGGAGGGGCAGGAAGGGGGCAGGTGGGGCAGGAAGGGGGCAGGAGGGGAGCAGGGAGGGGAGCAGGGAGGGGAGCAGGGAGGGGAAGGGGATAGAGGAGGGGGACAGGGATGGGAGCAGGGAGGGGAGAAGGGAGGGCGCTTGGGAGCAATGTAGGGATGGGAAGGGTGGATGGGGCGGGTGATGGTCTGCCCACTTCCTTATTCCCCTCCCCTCCCAGCCGCTCACCTCTTCAGCTCGTGCAAGTCAAAGTAGGAACAGAGCAGCCGCACCAGCCCATACCCCTCTGCACCACTTTCGACCTAACCATACCATTCTGAGTGCTGTCAGCTCGTGGCATAGAGCGGCTGCACCAGTCCATTATCCTCGTTACTATGCCACCCATACCACACCCATCCTTCTCACTCACTCCCCTGACGTACGTTCCTGCTCTCTCTGTCCCTCCCCTGCCCTCCTCACCTCTTTAACTCGTGCAAGTCGAAGTAGGCATAGAGCGGCCGCACCAGCCCATACCCCTCGTTAGTATGCGCCCCGTTTAAGCACACCATCGTGTCCAGCACCAGCGTTCGATTTAAGAACGCGGCCTCCGACAGCCTACACACCAGGCTCCACTTAAAATGCCCCATCCCCATGCACAAATCGCCCGCAGTCGGAACGTAGAGGTATTTAGTCCCGGAGATTAAATACTCCTCCTTAGTAACGCCCAGCCAGGGGGTCTCCCAGACCAGGGTTTTCTCGGCTGTCAGGTTTCCCGCCAAAAGATGAGTAACCACTGGGGAATCTGACGTCAGCAGCGCGCCAGTAGAGGAGCCACCGCCGCTGCTCCCGCTACTGCTGCTGCTGCCGCTACTGTCCCCGCTACTGCCGCCGCTGCTACCGCTGCTGCTGCTGCCGCTGCTGCTCCCGGTGTCGCCATTTCCCCTGCTAGTGGCGGCATTATTATCGTTGGCGCTGCTGCTACCTCCGCCGGGACTGCTGCCGCTGGGGCTGCTGCTGCTGGCAGGAGCAAAGGTTGTGGATGTAGCATCTGCTGACGCGCTCTGGCTGCCGTTAGATGGTCCCCCAGCGGACGGTTGCGATCCACCCTCAGGTCCGTTACCCGCACCACTAGCATTCGCACCTCCCGCTTCTGCCTTCGCGTCGCTAGAGTCGGTTTCGGAGGGAAAAGAGACCGTTATCGAATCGGCGTTGTCGAAGACCGCGGACGGCGTCCAATCAGAGGACTGGGAAATAAGGACCGATAGGGAGATCAGCGCGACGAGGAAGAGGAGATAGGCGGGCAATTGGCGGTTTCCGCGCGCAATGCGGATGGCGCGCTCCAGGTTTCCGCCGACGGCGTTCGCGTTGCGCTCGATGCTCCCCCGCGCCCCGCGCATGCGCTCGATGCTTCCGCGCAGCGCGCGCTCGAGGTTTCCGCGGATCGCGTTGTAGGAGGTGTGGTGATGGTGGTGGTGCGAGCTTTCCTTCTTGCCGTCGGTTGTCGGTGAAGCCATGGCAAAACTACTGCGAATCTTGGTATAGATTACCTTGTTATGTAGTAGCGAGTCAATAGCGCGATTCGTGACTTCTAAATCGACTCTAAGCGCAGCTAGGCGTCCCGCAGCGTCAGCGAGGCTCAGTGAGCGCACCTCGATAACGCGATTCGTCTCATTGCGTTAAGAAGATATCGGTCGCGGTCACAAGATGGTCGTTCTCGTCCGCGTCAATGGGTCAGGATGACGACGCGGCAGTTCGACGAGATTGAAGTCATGTTACATGGGATCGGAATTGCTCGAGAAGCAAGGAAGTGGCCGAAAAAACGGAACAAGAGCTGCTACCAACTACGCAAATGCGGTCCCTGACGATTGCTTTACGAAGAGCGGGCGTGGACGAAGCTCTCTGATAATCGACTCAATAGTAGTTGAGTCAACCCGACATAGGGGGGCATTATCTAGGGGAGCAGCAAAATCTAGGGAACCTCGATTGAAGCGCTCTCAGTAACGTGTAGGAATAATAAAACAACATGCAGATGAAAAAATAGCCGTAACAAAGCGTTTAGCTGCGAGCCTCTGCTTCGAAATCACTGAAGCTGGGTGTGCTGTAGGCTGTGTTCATGGGTCGCCGAGCCAAGCATTGGAGGTACGGGACATCCGCACTTCACGCGCGCTTCGCACCCTGCATCCATGTTCCAGACCCGTGCCCAAACCTGCTCCCTTGAAGTTAGGCAAAAGCTGGTGGTGACAGGTTCATGCCACTCTTTGTTAAGCATGCCCCATGTTTCCATTTAGTCCCAGTTACCACCAGAGCCCCACAGTTTCCGCTAAGTGCGAAAGCATCATGAGATACTGGTAGTCCGAGCCACATTTTCCCGCCTGATTTGGGCCCAAGCCGTGCCTAGAGTCCCGAAAGTTTAGGTACGGAACCATCAAAACTACACCTATCCAATCAAACATACACAAGCCCTCACTGACGGCGTCTAGAACAGAAAGTTATTTGTTGCTGGAACATCTGTTCACATACAGCTAGTTCCTGGAGTGGTACTTGATTTCTGTAGCGTTCGACGACCTTGTTCCTAGGTAGTTCCCTGTTTATCCCTTGGGTTATACGTGTGGTAGTCGTCGCAATCCTGATTCCGGCTGCAGACTGCACGTTCACGGGCCACGCTGCATTCTCTTTTCCTTCTTAGATCACGGTTGCTCTTTTTGATACTTGCAGTCCACATCATAGCGCCAAGAATTTCTGGTTAATTATTCCGTGCAATCGGTTAGGGGTCCGGTACGCGAGTGTTTCTGGTCCATTATCCGGACGGCATTATCAGGCGGTCCTAGTTCGGGTGCATTTCCTGGCTCTGCATCGATATACTCCCCGCCTGTTTTTTCCATGGGACACCGCGAAGTGATCCCGCTCGTGGTAGCAGGGACCGTGTCCAACATCGTTTAAGTGATACTTAGTACAGCAACTCTCTGACGTGCAGGTCCGTCTTTCGACGAACAAGTTCTGATACAGAACCCACCTTCCTGACACCTCCAGGATTCGCCAGGGTCAGCTGACTCGCAGCAATAGCTCGGAAGAACATGGAGAATCACGTTGGCAGCAATGGCGTTATCTCTCAGGATGAAATCCCCGCGGTAGTTAAAGACGTCCTACCCGCCGATCCCTTCGACCTTCTTAACTTATCCCGATTAATAGCCGCTCAGGCCTTCACAGCGCGTATCCACACTCTAGAAGCGGAGGCGGGTAAGCTGAAGGGTAGCTTAGGCGAGAGCCAGTCGTCGATTAACGCGTTGGAGGCGAAAGTTGCCGACTTGGAACTCACGCTAAAGGAGGCCAATGAAAAACGGGAGGCTGCAGAAGAGGAACAGGTAACGCTGCGGTTTTGTAGGATCTCCTTCTTCTTTCCTTTCATTAATATTCTTCGCATCGTAGAGCAGGTGATGCTGCTGAAGGAAAGGCAGTGTGGTTACCAGGTAATACTGCGAGACAAGGTGACGCTGTACCAGATGATTTCTCTCTCTTCCATTGGCTTGCAAATCCCTCTTCACAACGCTTGATGCGTTTCGTTCTCGTCATCATTTGCTGTTCCGATCTGGCGTCGCTGTCTTGCTGACTTGACTTGCAAACACGTGGACTTACATGTCACTGCCGCGTGCGTTACCCTGTCCCCTCTCTTTCCAGGCCAAGCTCACAGGCGAGAAGACAGCTCTCGTGGCGATGGTGAAGAAACTCAACAGAGACGTTGCCAAGGTAGGCTGCTTCATTGTTGTTGTAGGGTCGTCGCAAGGTTGGCTGTAGTTTAAATCTGCTGGAATGGCTGCGAATTGTCGCAAAGGCGAGAGACACTCTGTAACGCTCTTTCGTTCTTCCGTCGTCCCGCCTCTCGTTTCGTTCTTTCATTTCCCATTCAGCTGCTTCCGGCGCTCTTCCTCTCATTATTTTCCCCCTCCCTCTCCCGTCCGTTCTCCCCTTCCACCCCCTACCCCCTCCCCCCTCCCCCCCCCTCCCTACCCTTCCGCTCTCTCCTGCACACCTCTCTCATCTCTCCTCCAACGTTTCCATTTTGCTCCTGTCACCAGCTCGAGACCTTCCGTCGCACCCTCATGCAACAACTCAAGGACGAAAACGACGACGAGCCCGCGTCCGAGGTACGGAGAGATAGGTTTGGGACGGGGTGGGAGGGGGTTAAGGGGGGTTTGTTGACGGAGAGAGAAGGGGAGGGGGCTGGGGTAGGGGAGAGGGGGGGAGGGTAGGGTGCCTAAAATGGGAGATGATAAAAGAACCGAATGAGAGAAAACAATTAGAGGAGGAAGCTGAACGGGGAAAGAAAGGCAAAAAACCGGCAAGTTGTTGTGACTATGTTGGTTTTGACTATACCGAATTCTGTGATTGGAAGTGACATGGTGGACTGGAGCTCAGATTTGAATTGGAGAGGGCGTTATACCTGTTTAGGGACTGACTATATCCGTTATTCTGTGTGATTGTAACGATGATTCTGTGTGATTGTGAGTGTTTCAGGTGGGCATGGCGGAGAGTGCATCTGGCAGGAAGCCTCCGGTTCCCGAGTCGAGTGTGACGTCCGAATCAAGTGCTTCAACCACCAAGACGCAAACAGGTGCGGCTTGATACGCTGACACTTGTGGCCCTGTAGGTGGATATCAGGTGGTATCAGGTGGGCATCAGGTGGGTATCAGGTGGTATCAGGTGGGCATCAGGTGGGTATCAGGTGGTATCAGGTGGGTATCAGGTGGGCATCAGTTGGGCATGGTGGAGAGTGCGGCGGGCAGGAAGCCACCGGTGCCTGAGTCGAGTGAGACGTCTGAGTCAAGTGCTTCAACCACCAAGACGGAAACAGGTACGGATGGGTTGAAGTGGGTGGAAATCGGTGCTCTTGGCAGGAAGCCACCGATTCTCGGGTCGAGTGTGCCGTCCTGAACAAGTGCTTCAACCATCAAGGCGCAAACAGGTGTGGATGGGTTGAAGTGGGTGGAGAGTGGTGCTGTGAGCAGGAAACCACCGGTGCCCGAGTCAAGCCTGATGTTCGAGTCAAGTGCTTCATTTCCTCCCGCTCACTCTTCCAGATGTCTCTTCGCCGCTAGCAGCAGCCGGGGGCAGGCACAGCACTGAGGGGTATGATTCTTACTCCCAGACTTTTACCTTCACTACTGCCTGTTGCTCCCATTCCACTACACCCCTCATCCTCCCTCGCACTCCACCAGATGTTTCGGTATCTCTGGCAGCAGGAGTGGCGGGGCCAGGGGCGGGCACAGCACTGAGGGTTATGATCCTTAATATCAGCTCCCCACCTTCTTACTCTCAGTAATGTTGCCTTCACCTGCCCCCGCCTTCCTCCCTTCCACTCCACCAGATGTCTCGGTATCTCTGGCAGCAGGAGTGGCAGGGCCAGGGGCGGGCACAGCACTGAGGGTTGACCACGTGGCAAGATCAACGGCTGCTGCTGGCTCTGCCACCGTGGCGTCTACCATGGACCATGCGGGTCCAGGAGAGGACGCAGGTATGTGGTGTGTGTGCTGACGTGGCACGCGTGTAACAGTGTTTGATGGAGTGTGATGGTGTGTGATGGTGTCTGGTACTGTGTGGTAGTGAGTGATGGCGTGTGGTAGTGTGTGGTTGTGTGTGGTAGTGTGTGGTACGCCCCAATAACCCCCGTTCCAGGCCCCTTTCACTCTTCCGCTCCCCGCCTCCACCCACTCGCCCCTCCCCCCACGCCTCTTGCTTGCAGCTCGCAGCAACATTACCACCACTGGGCAAGCAGCAAGCACCACGGGCAGCAGCAGCAGTGTGAGCGCGAGTCTGAGGAATTTGAGGACCTCTGCGGTTCTCTCCTTTATCCTCTCCCCCCATCCCTTTGCTTGCAGCTCGCAGCAACATCACCACTACCGGACAAGCAGCAGCAAGCACCACGGGCAGCAGCAGCAGTGTGAGCGCGAGTCTGAGGAACCTGCGGACGCCCCAACGCACGCCCTCCATGACCCCCTCCTTTCCTCCCCTGTTTCCCGTCTCCAACCCCTTTGCTTGCAGCTAGGGGCAGTGTTCCCACTGGCGGACAAGCAGCGAGCACCACGGGCAGCAGCAGCAGTGTGAGCGCGAGTCTGAGGAACCTGCGGACGCCTCAACGCATCCCCTTTTCCCCTTGCCTCCCACCCCCCCTGCCCCCATCCCCTTTGCTTACAGCTCGCAGCAACATCACCACTACCGGACAAGCAGCAGCAAGCACCGCGGGCAGCAGCAGCAGTGTGAGCGCGAGTCTCAGGAACCTGAGGACTCCTCAACGCACGCCCTCCATGACCCCCTCGCTCTTCCCCTCTCCCTCCATCCCTCCATCCCCCCTGCCCCCTGTCCCCTGTTCCCTGCTCCAATTCCCCCTGTGTGCAGCTCGCAGCAACATGACCACCACAGGGCAAGCAGCGAGCACCACGGGCAGCAGCAGCAGTGTGAGCGCGAGTCTGAGGAATTTGAGGAACTCTTTTCTCTCCTTTATCCTCTCCCCCCATCCCTTTGCTTGCAGCTCGCAGCAACATCACCACTACCGGACAAGCAGCAGCAAGCACCACGGGCAGCAGCAGCAGTGTGAGCGCGAGTCTGAGGAACCTGCGGACGCCCCAACGCACGCCCTCCATGACCCCCTCGCTCTTCTCCCCCGCCTTCACGCCCTCCGCCACGCCTCCCCACGGGAGCACTGCTGCCTCTCCCCGCTCGCGCACTGAAGGTGAGAATGGCAGTGTATGGTGTGAGTATGTGTCTTCACCCCCTCGCTCTTCTCCCCCGCCTTCACGCCCTCTCCCCACGGCTCCACTGCTGCCTCTCCCCGCTCTCGCACTGAAGGTGAGAATGAGAGTTGGTAGGGGGGGCGTATGTGCCTCCCTGGCTTTCACCCCTTCGGCCACTCCTCCCCACGGCTCTACTGCTGCTTCGCCACGCTCCCGCTCTGAAGGTGAGCGCTAGGGAAAGCCGAATACCGCCCTCTGTCCCTACCGCCCCCAAACGCACGCCCTCCATGACCCCCTCGCTCTTCTCCCCAGCCTTCACCCCCTCCGCCACCCCGCCCCATGGGAGCACAGGTGCCTCTCCCCGCTCGCGCACTGAAGGTGAGCATAGGAATGGGAATGGGGAAATGGGTAGGGAAAGCAAGGGGTTTTGTTTGTGCCCGTGCCACCCCTCCCTCCACCCCTCCATGACTCCTTGGCTTTTCTCCCCGGCCTTCACCCCTTCGGCCACGCCTTCCCACGGGAGCACTGCTGCCTCTCCCCGCTCCCGCACTGAAGGTGAGTCGCTAGGGAAAGCTGAGTACCGCCCTCTGCCCCTTCCCCAACGCACGCCCTCCATGACCCCCTCGCTCTTCTCCCCTGCCTTCACCCCTTCGGCCACGCCACCCCACGGGAGCACTGCTGCCTCTCCCCGCTCGCGCACTGAAGGTGAGACTTTGGGCTAGAAACGTGCTCAGTGTATGCTTTAGTACCAGTGATACCCAACTCCCTTCGCCCCTCCATGACCCCCGCGCTCTTCTCCCCAGCCTTCACCACCCCCTCGTCTACACCCACAGTAGCACTGCTGCCACACCTTCCCCTTCTCCCCCTCTCCCTTCCCCTCTCCTCCCCTCTCCCTCAACCTCCTTTCTCCCCCCCACTCTCTCGCTCCCTCTCTCCCTCCCATCAGCTCGAGCTCCCCGGGTGGATGGCAAGCAGTTTTCGTAACGACCGTCTGTACCGGTCTATACCTGTCTCTCGTACTCTCTCCCCCTTCCCCTCTTTCTCCCCCCTTCTCTTCTCTCCCCTTCTCCCTCTCATCAGCTCGAGCTCCCCGGGTGAATGGTTAGGAGTTTCTGATGAGCGTCTGAAAATACTTGATTCAACATTCTTCTCTCACACTCCTATACTTTTCTCCCTCTCCCTCCTCTCCCTATTTCCCCCCCTTCCCCTTCCCCCTCTCCCTCTCACCAGCTCGAGCTCCCCGGGTGGACGGCAAGGAGTTTTTCCGACGAGCAAGGTACGCTTGAGCAAGTTTCTCACCCTTGCGTTAAGAAAGGGGTTTGTCTGGTCAACCCACCCCTTTCTTTCACCCTCTTTGTGTTTCACCCTTGCGTTATATCTCCTTTTTGGCTCAAGAAGCATCCACCCGCTTTTCCCCATCCCACCCATCCACATCCCTTTCTTCCTCCTCCTTTTTGGTGCTATCCAGAGGAATCGTCTCTCATACGAGCAGTTCAATCACTTCCTAGCAAATCCCAAGAAGATTTTTGAATCAACTCAAGAATCTTCCATTTCTTCGTCTTCCCATCCTATTCCTCTCTCTTGCTCGTTCTCCTGCTGCTATCCACACAAATCGCCTGTCCTATGAACAGTTCAGTCTCTTACTGGCAAATTATCAAGCAGACCTTTGATTCACCTCATGACTTCTCCGCTTCTTCTTCCTCATCCCACCCACTCCTCTCGTTCCGTCCTCTCCCTCAACTATCCACAGGAACCGTCTGTCCTATGAGCAATTCAGTCTCTTCCTGGCGAATATCAAGGAGCTTAACGCACACAGGAAGACACGTGAGGTGAGTTCTTAGATGACTCTTGAGTCGACTCATATAGTTCAGTAGCTCTAGCTCTAGCTCTATGCTTCCTCTATGACCCCCCTCTCAATCGTCACCTCCCACTTCCCCCCTCGCTTGCTTCCCCCCACGCCCTCTGTTGGTCTGTCTGAGCAGGAGACTTTGAAGAAAGCAGAGATCTTTGGGACTGAGAACAAGGACCTCTATGCTTCGTTTGAGACCCTGCTGCTGTTCCTTACTTACCTCCCGCTTCTCCCCCTTCCTCCCGTTTCTTACGTCTCTGTCTGCCCTGCTCCAACAACCCATTGCTCCTATGAGCAGGAGACTCTGAAGAAAGCAGAGGAGATCTTTGGGACCGAGAACAAGGACCTGTATGCTTCGTTTGAGACCCTGCTCAGTCGTCATCTCCCAACATAGCAGCATCTCACAGCACCGCTTTGCATCGTGGACTCAAAACCCCTGCTCAGCCACCTCCTAGCACAGGATGGCTTCTTACAGCATCAAACTGCACTGCATTACACCACTCTGCATAGAACCGCACAGCACCATGGCCGTCCTTGAAGCCAAGTTCAACCTGTTTGCAGTGGTTAGCATCGCATGCACTGCCTGTGGTCCGACCTGAATACTGTACGATCAAGACGGGCAGCAGTTTTGCCTGGACTAATTTATGTTTTTTATGGATATTCTGCGTACGCTTCAGAGTCTTAAATCTAGATGCATATTTTTACTTTGTTAGGGCGTATTATTGATGCCATGGTTATGGTTATTGTTCTCAGTTTCATCTTTGGGCGCATTCATTCTTCATGCGTTCTGCTTGAAGCTGGGCGCCATAATTATTCATTACGTAAGGGATAATGTAGTAGGTGCGTTAAGCACAAGCATCCGCTGGATGGAAGCCATTACATATCTCTTCGTTTGGTGTCAGTGCATACCATTACATGATAATTACATTCGCAATGCGCATCTGCAAGACAGAACCCACGACCCTGCGTCCAGGATACTAACGAGGACGCGAGAGGCATCGCTAACAACACTTCCCTTCGCCCTGCTACACTCTACACATCCTCGGCCTACAGTAAACTACATGTCAAGAATCAGTTGAAGGTTTCGACAAATACTTCTACCGTACTAGCTAGTAGCTAAGAAATTCTTGAACCAGATGGCGGAAGCCTTGGGGTACCGAGGCTTGAGTGGGTGCGTGAAGTTGACATAGAGCATGCCGAATCGCTGCGTGTAGCCCTGCGACCATTCCCAGTTATCCATCATCGACCACGCAAAATAGCCCTGCACATTCACTCCGTTGCTGTAAAAAAAAGGAATATGGAGGGATGGAAAGAGATGAAACGTAATGAGTGAGTGACGGCAGTTGAAACGGAGCATGCCGAATCGCTGGGTGTATCCCTGTGACCACTCCCAGTTATCCATCATCGACCACGCGAAATAGCCCTGCACATTCACTCCATTGCTGCAAAAAAAAAGAGCAGGGAATAGCCGAGATGGGAGAGAGACAAGAACACGAGTGGGTGAGTGGGTGGGAAAGTAAAATAGAGTGTGCTATCACTGTGTGTAGCCCTGGAATCACTCCCAGTTATCCATCATGGTCCATGGTCCCATCGAGTCTTGCACATGATACATACAGGGTTGGAAAGGATATGGAGAGTGGGTTGCAGGGAGTGGCAGGAAGGGACAGGGAAGGTGTGGCAGGAGGAAGGGAGAGTGACAGAGGGGAGGGAGAGTGACAGAGGGGAGGGAGAGTGACAGAGGGGAGGGAGAGTGACAGAGGGGAGGGAGAGTGACAGAGGGGAGGGAGAGTGACAGAGGGGAGGGAGAGTGACAGAGGGGAGGGAGAGTGACAGAGGGGAGGGAGAGTGACAGAGGGGAGGGAGAGTGACAGAGGGGAGGGAGAGTGACAGAGGGGAGGGAGAGTGACAGAGGGGAGGGAGAGTGACAGAGGGGAGGGAGAGTGACAGAGGGGAGGGAGAGTGACAGAGGGGAGGGAGAGTGACAGAGGGGAGGGAGAGTGACAGAGGGGAGGGAGAGTGACAGAGGGGAGGGAGAGTGACAGAGGGGAGGGAGAGTGACAGAGGGGAGGGAGAGTGACAGAGGGGAGGGAGAGTGACAGAGGGGAGGGAGAGTGACAGAGGGGAGGGAGAGTGACAGAGGGGAGGGAGAGTGACAGAGGGGAGGGAGAGTGACAGGGGGAGGGAAAGTGACAGGGGGAGGGAAAGTGACAGGGGGAGGGAGAGTAACAACCACACCTCCTAAATATGTAAAATAATTCACTGTTTGGCATCCAATACGCTCCGGAGGTAACTCTTGTGGAAGTTGACCCTCTGCACATTGTACTCGCTAGCAACACCCTCATTTACAATCACGACCCCAAAACAGTGAAACTTACTTCTTGGCGTCCAGAACATTTTGAAGGTAGCTCTTGTGGAAGTTAACCCTCTGCACGTCGCACAGCGCCTTGTCCATCGTGATCCCCTGCACGTTGTACTCGCTAACACCATTCTCGGTAACGATTACAGCTGCATCTTTGCCGTAACGGTTCTTTATCCACAGCAGCATGTTCTTCATGGACTCGGGAGCCACGTAGAGCCACTTCGAGGAGGTCTGTAGCGAGGACAGCAAGACGAGAGGACAAATGATAGGGAGTCTTTAGCGGGATAATTCAGAGAAACATTATCCAATGGCTGGACAAGAGACCTCCGGGTACTGTATGGGGCACAGATAGCTGCTGGTGTGCAAATGTATTGAAACAAGGTGCGTGCGAGGGACAGTGAGGATGAATCACCAACGTAATGCAACTACTCAAGGAGCACAACAGGAGAGGTGCTTACCGGCTCGCCGACAAACTTGCCGGTTCGGGGGTTACGGGCTGCACACACACACAGGCAGAACGGTAGGAGAGATGGGACACACATGATTGGATGGGACACAGGTCTGAGTCACATGTTACAAAATAACCGTGCGTTTTGTTTGTGGGTCTTAGGAGAAAACTTTTGGAAGCAACTCCCGATAGCATCCTCGTTATACTCACGCGAAGTGGAGACGCGCGCGTCGGTCCACGGGATTCCAGCTCCCGCGCTGCTTCCCGGCCACGCGTAAACGGCCGAGTAAAAATCCAACCCGAGAAAATCCGTGGCGCCTCTCATGCGTCGCGTTTCCTTGCGGTTGAATTTCGGCATGCGATCGCCGACGAAATAACGCATGGAGCGCGGGTAGCTTCCGTAACGGATCGGGTCCGCGAACCACCCGTACGCGAATTCCATCCCCCGCTGCGCCGCGTTTTTGCTCGCGCGCGTTTCGTCAGCCGCGTAGTGGTACACGCAATCCAACGCAATGCCGATCCGACCGCCCTGCTGCTTCTTGTACTTCTGGCGGTAAATCTGGACCGTCAACGAATGCGCTTTCAGAATGTTGTGCGCGACGATGTAAGGCTCAGAGGACGAATTTCCCGCGGTGCAAATTGTACGGTCCGAGCAGCGGCCTGGAGCCATGCCTCCTGTGCCGTAGCCTTGCACGGCGATCTGCTGCGGCTCGGCAAATGTAATCCATGTCTTCACTCTGTCCCCGAATTTGCGGAAGCACGTTTCGGCGTAGTTGGCGTAACTTCGCCTGAAATCAACCAGCAACGGCAAATTTCCAAGAAGAATATCAGTGCAAAGCAATAGACATTAAAATACCAACAGAAATACATATTGGTGGTGCGTAAATCGTTTATTTGTAGTGACACAAGAGCATGATGCTAGTATCAGGGATGCTTACACAATGGTGTCGTTGAGCCAGCCCCCCTGGTCGCGTTCAAGAGGGAACGGCAGATCCCAGTGGTACAGTGTAACCACGGGCTCGATGCCGTTATCCTTCAACTCGTTAATGAAGTCATTGTAAAAGCGTATGCCCTCGGCGTTCAACGCACCCACACCCGCTGCGACAATCAAAGGATACAGCGAATGTTGGAGGACGGAGATTTGGGGGAGGCACAGAAAAAGGTGGTGAGTGGACGGGTGGAAAACCAAGCGAAATTCAATCGGAGAAGATCTCGTTTAAAAGCACTTAGAGAAGAGTGGCGAACGGAAAGCTTTCTGGGAAAGGCTTCAAAAGAGGTACTTCATCTTGTCGAGACGCCTACTGATTTCGTAGAGAAATGGGCGGCTTCCCTGGTACCATTCGCGGCTCACGTGGCACAACTCGCGGCCACGAGATGGAGAAGCGGTAGTTCTCCACTCCCATCTCCTCCAAAACATTCCCGAGTATGAATATAAGTTACGTGGTAACATTCGCAACTCACCTGGCACAACTCGCGGCCACGAAATGGAGAAGCGGTAGTTCTTCACGCCCATCTCCTTGAGAAACTTCACATCAGTCTGCAGAGCGGGCAGGAAGAGGAAATTCGGGGAAAGGCGAAAGGGCGGGGAAGCGGGGAGTGGGTAAGTGGGGGTGTTACGAAGCATCGGGATTATAAAGAGTAGCAAAAAAAAAAAAGTAGAAAGGCTCGAGACGATCAGCAGCACCAGAAAGGTCCTGCCTATGGTAAAAATCCACCTTAGTCGACTGCTCTCCTCACCTTGTAGCGGTCGTAGCTCTGAGTGGCCTCGGCGGGTTTGGATCCGTCGGCGATGGCGCCGGTCAGCATCGAGTACGCGTCCCAGATGCTCGGCCCGCGGCCGTCCTTGGACGTGCTGCCTTCCACCTGCGTCGCGCTCGTCGTCACTCCGAATGCAAAATTGTCGCCGAAGTCGGCGGATCGCACGCCGTTAGTCGACGCGTCGGTTTGAGCGAGGCAGTTCTGCGACGCACGAGAAGAAGATGAGGTGCAAGAGAGGGGGAAAGGTTGGGCGGGGGCAGTAGCGTGTCGAGTAACGCAAAAACGAATCTGAAGCGAATAACGGCCGACAGCGACGACAGGACAATGGGGAGTGCGGCTTCTGTAATACGCATAGCGAGTCAACGAGGAAGTCTATGACGAGTATTTCCCGTGACAGTTACGGAGTTGAGAAATTTATGAAAACATTGAAAGGTTTGGGAAGTCACCTTGAGCATGTAATTGCTAAACTTGAACGCGGGTGATGGCGTTTCTTGCGCCGCCGCGAAATGCGGGCAGGAAGCTAACAAAGCGGCGGAGAGGGTGAGCGTGAGCAGCAGCCCGCACATCCTAGCCCGTGCCATTGTTTCTGAATTGTTCCAAGAGTTTGCAACCTCAGCCGTTCTGTGGGACTCAGCGGGTCTGCGAGATTATCCGCCTACTCGTCCAGCTATGTCTGCAAAAGTTATCAGAAAACAACTCTAGACTAGCGTTGGCGTTTCATCTGTGAGTTTATTTGACTGGAATCCTGGCGATCGCGCGCGACCCTCTGTTGAGCTCGGTTGCGCCTAAAACGCGACAACGACGACGATGCAGTCTTTGGTTCCTCCAG